AGGAAGACCAAAGAAGAATTGATGCATTTGAATTGTGGTGGAATTTCCAGAAATGCAAGCTGGATTCAGAAGAGGTCATGGAAGGAGGGATATCATTGCTAATGTCAGATTTCATATTTTAAAAAATGCAGCTTTGTGCCTTCTCTTGTCATATTAGAAACTGGCTGGCCCTTGTACCATGTGGAGATTCATAGAAAAGCCCTCTTCTAGATGGGGAGTCCCTGGGTGGTGCCAACGGTTAATGCACTCAGCTGCTAACTGAACGACTGCAGGTTTAGTCCACCTAAAGGCAACTCAGAAGAAAGACTTGGCCACCTGCTTCCAAAAATTCAGCCACTGAAAACACTATGGAGCACAATTCTACTCTGTCTCTCACGGAGTTACCATGAGTCAGAATTGACTCAACAGCAGCTGGTTTTTATTGGCTCTTCTAGCTAGAGTCAGTGCCTTCCTGTTTGCCACTGACAGCAGAGCAGCATGAACCCTCAGGTTCATGGAAAAAAGCTTATATGACAACTCACAAGTGTACATTTATACTGTGGAAACCAAAGGGCTGTTAAAAAGAACAAACTTGACTCTCCAGCCAAGGGTTACTGGGTGAACGATTGCCACCTGGAATCCCACCATACCATCCAAGTTATACCCTTGGCCCCCAAGGTGAAAGTGAACAAATCTCACACTCTGTGTCTCTGTTTCCTGCTTTCCCGGAGAACAGTCATTCCAATGGGATATTTTCCTGATCTGGTTTTCATGGACAAGTGGACAAAATTAGTACAGAACCTGAGCCAAAAGCAGCCTACAGAATCAGTGAGGAAATGTTTTTCAAAACACCAAGTGTGTGATGTATCCACCACTTTGAAAGGGACTTCTGCATCGAGGAGCCCAGCCCTTACTGATGTAGAGCCAAGACTATTGGTAGGTCCCCACTGGCAGGAGGAACACTGGCAAGATCTCCTGAGACAAGTGAGAACAGGTGAACCCAGGGGAACTACAGCCCTTCCGTTGTCCTCTGTGGTCTGACATTGAGGAAGGTCTCACATACACACACACACACAAGTGGATGTGGTAATCACTCTGGCTGTAACCCAAGTGGCTTGCTAAAGTCTCAATTCCTTTTAACTTTTTCCACCAAGAATCGTAATGTAAGCTATTCCCAGAACTTCCAGAGTGGGAAAGTGGACAAAGGGGAACAGCTTATTCCAGACCAAGTACTGGGAAATTCCAGTGTGGGTCAACATAAGAGGAAACAAGCCCTCACCTACAAAGTTGGTGAAAAGTATAAATTGGTACGGCCCTTTCAAATTGCCATTTTGCAATAATTACCATGTATATGAGGTGACTAAAAATACCATGTCTTGGGTCAGGTGCAACTTAGTCTTCAAACTCTTCAACACGTTAAAGAGGTATTTTGCAGCAGATTTGTCCAGTGCAATACACTGTTGATTTTTTAACTTTTTATTGTGATTGTGTGAAAGTTTACATAGCAGATTCGTTTTCTACTCAAATTCATAGGAAGGCCCTCTTCTGGATGGGGAGTCCCTGGGTGGTGCAACGGTTAATGCACTCAGCTGCTAACTGAATGACTGCAGGTTCATACACATTTTGTTTCATGACACTGCAGTCCCCACAATCTAACAGTTCTCTTCCCACCCCCTCCTTATGGTTACCTTTTCCCTGTGTTCTTTCTTCCTATGCATTATTGCCTTCTGAGCTTTCTACCAGTGCAAAAGCTGCCCTTCTGATCTACCATAGTTAATTCTAAGTTCTCGCCTCTGGTATGGTTACTCATCTGTATGTCTGTCTATTGTTTGGCTGAAGGCTAAGCCACAGGAGTGAATTTAATTCAAAGACTGAAGGCTGACTAGGAGCCATAGTCTAAGGGGTTTCACCAGTCTCTATCAGACCAATAAATCTAGACATTTTTCTGATTTCGAATTTTGGTCCAGATTTTTCTCCTACTCTATCCAGGATCTCCAATTTTGATCCATTTTCCAATGGTTGGCAATGGTAGCCGGGCACCATCCCATCTAGTTCTTCTGGTCTCAGGTCAAGTAGGATGAGGTTCCCATGGTCCACTGATCCCTTGGACTGATTGTTTCCATGGATCTTTGATTTTCCTCACTCTTCTTTGCTCCAGACAAGAGAATAATAGTTATACCTTAGATGGCTACTCACAAGCTTTTGAGTCGCTACTCACCAAAGAAGGATGTAGAATGTTCTTTGGTTATGTTATGCCAGCTGAGTTTAATGTCCCCCATGACCGTGGTCTTGAGTCCACGGGCCCAGCAACTTACTCCCTCAAGGTGTTTGGTTATGGCTAAGAAGTTATCATAACTTTGCTCCGTTTGCTCTACGTATGGATATTTTTATAGCACATAAAAATATGTACATAGAAATATCATCTGCCAAAACCTATATATGGTCATAGGTATATTCCCATTCGCCTACCCATACCTAATCATCTTGTCTGTCCACCTATATTCCTACCTGTAGATTATTTGTTATTACTGATCATGCAGTATTGTGTAAGTAATACTATTTACTTTTGTTGTTTGTACCTCTTGTGCACCTCTCCGTGTCTTCCTTTACCTTGGAGATATTGTGCTGGTGACCTGGTTTTGGTATACTGCCTTACCTTTCACCCAAATTAATATATGTCTCCTCTCTAGCTAGTAGTTTTCCTTCCCATCCTCTCCCATGCCTGGTAACCAACAAAGTTTTCTTCCATGTGTAAACCTTTTCTTGACTTTGTATAATAGTACAATACTTGTACTTCAGTGATTGACTTATTTCACTCAGCATGTCCTCCAAGTTCATCCACATTATGAGGTGTTTTGAGGATTCTTCATTATTCTTTAATGTTGCATAGTATTCCATTGTGTGTATGTAGCATAGTTATGTTATCCATTCATACACTGATGGGCACTTAGGTTGTTTCCATCTTTTTGCTGTTGTGAACAGTGCTGTGATGACCATGCATGTGCATATATCTATCATGTCCCAGCTTTCATTTCTTTAGGATATGTACCCAGTAGTGGGACTGCTGTGTCAAGTGGTAAATCTATTTCTAACTTTTTAAGGAAGCACCATATCATTTTCCATAGTAGTTGTACCATTTTTTGGTCCCACCAGCAGTATATAATTCCAGTCTCTCCACATCCTCGTCAGCATCTGTGTTCTGTCTTATTGAATCTAACAATAATGATAACCTCATTCTACATCCTCTTATGAATCCAGCTTGCATTTCTGGCAGTTCCTGTTGATGTACTGCTACAGTTGTTTTTGAATTATCTTGAACAAAATTTTACTTACATGTGGCATTAATGATACTGTTTGATAATTTCTCCATTCTGTTGGATCATCTTTCTTTGGATTGGGCACAAATAGGAATCTCTTCTAGTATTGACCAGGGAGCTGTCTTCCAGGTTTCCTGGCATAAGCAGGTGAGCACTTCCAGCCTTGCATCGTTTGTTGAAACATATTAATGGGTGTTCTGTCGTTTTCTGGAGCCTGGTTTTTCACCAGTGCCTTCAGTGCAGCTTGCACTTCTTTCTTCAGTATCATCAGTTTTTAATCATATGCTAACTCCTAAATGGTTAAAGGTCAACCAGTTTTTTTTTGGTACAGTGACTCTGTGTAGTCCTTCCATCTTTTTCAAAAGCTTACACGTTCAATTTAGCTGTATCTATCAAATTTAAAACATTCAAACCCTCCTACATGGGTATCCTACCTCAGTGTGTGTTCTACATTAACACCTAAAAACAAAGGCCCAGATACAAATACAAGGATGTTCATTGAGGCACTGTGATAAGAAAGCACTGGAAATTACCCAAGTGACCATAAATAGAGAGTTTGTTAAATATATCCCATCAAAAAGCATGAGGTAGGGTGATACAAAGCGTGAACAATGTCTGTGTATAATCAAGTAAAGAAAGCAAGCTGCAGAATCATATTCAGGCTATGATTGCATTGTTGTTGTTATGTGCCGTCGAGTCGGACTCGACTCATAGCGACCCCTCCTTGGGTTTCCGAGGCAGTATCACTATGGAAGTAGATTGCCCAACCTTCCTTCAGAGGAGTGGCTGGTGGGTTTGAACCGCCAGCCTTCTGGTTAGCAGTCAAGTGCCTTTAGGCACTATGCCACCAGAGCTCCTATATGATTGCATTGGTCTAAAGATTTGCATTAGTGTGCAAATATATAAAATATAAAAAACAGTATTATGTCATGCACAGATATGTAAACATACACACACATATATATGTAACTATATGTATCCATGCGTGTGCACATATGTAGCAAATGAATGTTTTTATGCATAGAAAGAGGTTTGGGAGGGTATATACCAAAGAATATTTATTCTGGAGAAAAAGGAATAGAAACTTCTACACTTTAAGAATTGTATTGCTTAAATTGTTAATAATGAAGACATACCAGTTTTGTAATATATCTATGTGCTTACTTTAGGATAACAGTCATGATATTTGCAACTTCCCCTCAAATGCTTCAACAAATAAATGTGTGTGTGTGTGTGTGTGTATAAAAGTAATCAGAGAGAGCCAATGAGAAAAATGTTAACAACTGTTGAATCAAGTTGAAGGGTATATGTACTATTCTTGCAACTTTTGTCTATGAAATATTTTCAAAATAAACAGTTAAAAACTAAAACATAAGTAAGCATTGAATGAAAGACAGTTAAGCACAAATAGAAGCCCTCCACAGTCCCCAGGGAGCTGAGGCCTGGAAAGACCTTAGAGTCTGGGCAAAGCCAGTCATCTTCCAAAAAGGGCTGGAGTTCAAATTCAGGCTTTAAACAGCTTTATTTTTTCCATGAGTCCTCCCCCAAATATCCAATGTTCTTGCCATACTGAAGGAACTTGGAATCTGCATATAGAAAGAATCGCAATGGTACTTTACGGTCAACTTCTGTTGGCTCTGGTGAACCTCGTGACTGTCTTTTCCAGCCTGGCCAGGCCACCAAGGAGGAGCTCTTGTGGTTTGAGACATCTGGCTCAAAATATCCCCTTCTCTCACGATCCAGCCACAAGGCTCAAAAGATTTAGTGGGAAGAGTACAGAACAACTTCCCACCAGACAATGTCCTCACCTCCTGTGATCTGCTCCAATGGCCTCTGTGATGCTGCTAAAACCCTGCTCTCTAGAAAAGGAAGAAATGCAATTTCAGTCCACAGTGAAGGATGGGTCTCTCCCGGGAAGCCCTCATCCCACCTCTGCTCTGTCAGCTCTGTGAAGGGCCCACCCCTCTCTCCCAGTCACACAGTCCTGTCCCAGGTACGTCTCTTGCCCTTTACCCCATCTCCAGAGACCTAGAGACCAGGAAGGGACTTGATTTGAAGTACTGCCTGCCTCCTGACACCAAGCCAGTGTGACTTAGTGGGAATGTTGCCAGGATTCATCAGAGTCCTCTCTCTCAAATAAATGAACCACCCTGCCTTGTAAACACCACTACCTTGGAAGCTAATCCTGAATTCCTCGGCTCTATTAGTCCATCGTCAACACAGATCAACACAGATTGATTTTTTCCCTGGGTTCAGCATGTACTCCTCAAATCCTTTTCGAATGAGGAATAAATAGGAGCATGAGTAACATCTCCTCGAGTTGAGTCACTGAATTGTAGCACATTATATCTCCTGTTCCAAGCCACGCTTACAGCCCCACTTACTTCAGAAGGGCCTCCAGCTCCCGCTTGACTCTGCCCACCACAGGCGGGCCGCAGTAGATGAGGGCCGTGTATAGCTGCACCAGGGAGGCCCCTGCTCGGATCTTCTCCAGGGCATCCTGCCCACTGCTGATGCCACCAACCCCGATGATGGGAACTCTGCCTGCAGAGGAACACATGACCACCCTATGAGGGCCAGACGATGGGAGAACTAGGAGCTTACAGCCCCGCCACACCCAAATCTGAAGACAGACAGCAGAGTCCTTGCCTTGAGTGAGCGCATACATCTCCCGAATGGTCTGAGTTGACAAGTCCCGGAGGGGCTTCCCACTCAGTCCTCCCATTTCGGAGCGCAGGGTACCCTGCAGGCTGGTGGGGCGACTCACGGTGGTATTTGTGACAATCAATCCATCAATGCCCAGCTGCAGAGTGAGACAAGAGAAACAGGTCACTTGCCAGCTCCTGGCAGCAGAAGAGCCCTCTGATCCCAGTGCCAAAAGACTTGGAAAAGGCTTCCCTGGGGTCTGAGATGTCCACTAGCCAGATGCCCATACCTACAGTGCCCAGAAAGCAAGAGCTATACCAGACCTCTCTGTATCTCCTAAAAAGATCTACAGATTGAGCTTCACTGTAACCAAAGCAGCCATCACATATTGATGACCCACAATATTCCACTAGGATAGGGTTTAATCCTCCCAACGACCCATTTTATAGTGTCTTGTCCAAGGCCTTGAGTTACTAAGTGGTAGAGCCAGGATTTGAACTTAGTACTGGTAGGCTCTATGATCTGTGTTTCTTCTACTATCCTATGATACAGAGACCTAGTACTTAAAAGCTAGAAAGAGAGAGAATTTTCCAGGTCCCAGTAAGACTGGCCAAGAACACAAGCACAAGCCTCAACACCCTTTTGCTGAGTGAAGATGGGGCAAGAGAGGAGGGGAGACAGGAGAAAAAGATTCACTCATTGATTCAAACATTCCCTTTATGCTCTATGATTCATTACATCGTGAGAAGCACCAAACTAGCCCTCAATATCCAGAGAGGAAACAACAAAGGCTGCCTTTCTGGGCTAGCCCAACTGACCAAATGGCTTTTACAGACAGTGAGAAGTGTCCCTCATGTGCAGGCCCAGTTCACACCTCTTTCACCACCCTGGCAATATCTTCCTTGTCCTGGGCTGTGAGGTCAGGGGCGATCTTCACCAGCACAGCCGGCTTGTGCGGTCCCTTTAAGGCATCTCTCTCCTGCAGCACCTACAGCAATACAGCCAGGGTGGGAATCCTTAGACCGTGCTCAACAGAGCAGCCGTGACCTGTAGCCACAGGTGAGTGTTTCTACACAAGCTACCAGACAAAAGCAGGAAGGAGTTCTCCTTCTCAGGAAACAAGCCCTCAGTTATGCAAGGGAGCCCCTTTAAAATGGATCTGATTAGATTATTTTGAACCCAGGGATTAAGTCCCTAAGTTATCGCTGGCAGCGGCATATTGAGATTTATTTAGATTCTTGCTCCTAAAAGAGACGACAAGGAAAGACCATGACAGGAACTGTGTGATGAAAAGTCATCCAATTCACTCCATGTGCTAGATGCTAGGGATACAGTGGTAAATGAGAGCAGTAAGGTCCCTGATCTCATGGAGTTTAATGGGTCAACAGAGAGAACAGATAACTGAACGTTTAATTACTACCGAGTGTAATTGGTGTTGTGGTAAGGGATTAGAGAGTGCTTCAGGAAGGCAGAGCAGGGGGTCCTAACTGGACCAAGTGTTATGGACAGTCTCTCAAGAAGGATGCTGAAGCTTGGCCCTGGAGAATGAACAGGACAGGAGTCTGCTGGTCAAGCTGATGGAGTGGTGCCTGGAGAAGAGATGTAATTTCCCACCTTGGTCAGCAGGTGGCGCAGCTCAGCCTTTCCCTGAAGGCTCCGCAGCCCTGCTGTGTTGGGACTGGATACGTTCACTACCAGGTAGTCGGCCAAGGGGCCCAGGACTCGCACCCCTTCCACGTAGTCTGCAGCAGCATCCACCGAGGTCTTATTCTTCCCCAGGTTTATTCCCAGTAGCAGCCCATCTGTAAATATTGCCAGTCAAGACTTTAAGGCCACCCTTGACTGAACAGCCTATGCACACTCTAGGCCGCCTTCCTGCCACATCAGAACTTCCCTGAATCAGCTGGCAAATGCTTTGAATGTGCTGCTCCCTGCTGACGGATAAACAGCTCATCATCTGCACATCAATGTCTGAGTAACTACTTGAAAGTTTTACTAGATTTTGTCCTTTTTAATTTTAAAAATATACAGAAAATGGAAAAATTAAGTACAAATGTTACTGATTTAAAAAAAAAAAAAAAAAAAGTAGGCCTCCTAAACTTAATACCACTAAGAAACAGACAGAAATCAATAGGCCTGTCAGAAGGGTCAACTATGTAATCTGAAGGGAAGCATATTAGACTTGAGTGAAGTGACTGGGTGTATAGTTGTGAAGAAGATAATAAAGAATATGTGGGAAATATTTTAAATTATCATGTCTAAACTGAGGAGCTCTGGTAGCATAGTAGCTAAGGCACCTGACTGCTAACCAGAAGGCTGGTGGTTCAAACCCACCAGCCACTGCTCAGAAGGAAGTTTGGGCAATCTACTCCCATAGTAATACCACTTCAGAAACCCAGTGAGGGGTTGCTATGAGTCAGGTCCAACTCAGTGGCACATAACAACAAGAGCAAACTGTTGAGGTATAATTATTTTATAATCTGTAAGTTTAGTTCTCTGAGAAGCAACCCTGCCTTATAAATAGGGGGACCATCCTGATTCTCCAAAAATCAAACCAAACTCACTGCCATCGAGTTGAATACGACTCATAACAACCCCCATTGGGTTTCCAAGGCTGTAAATCTTTAGAGAAGTAGATCGTCCCATCTTCCTTTCTCAGAGCAGCTGGTGGGTTTTAACCACTGACCTTCTGGTTAGCAGCCAAATACCTTATCCACTGTGCCACCAGAGCTCCTTTGATTCTCCTCGGACAGCTATAATTACTCCTATAGCCTGGGCATAATTAATACTCTCTTTTGCTCCCCAAAAGTGTCTCAATTTAGAACCCAGAAATAGATCCATCAACCTATAGTCAGCTGATCTTTGACAAAGGCCCAAAATCCATTAAATGGGGAAGAGAATGTTTGTTTAATATATGGTGCTGGCAAA